ATTAGATCTATTGATCTTGATGCCATTTTCATTGCCCTCCCCGTTTAGCATTTTACTAGATTTAATTTTTTTTGTTTACAAGTATTATTGACCAGAGCTTCGCTTTTAGCCGTGGCTAAATCTATATATTACTGGCTTACCTTCACTTTCGTGCCTTCTCATGTTATTTGAGTTTCTCAAGCCTATTGCAAGTTCAATGAAATATTGGGACGGAAAGAACATGACACGAGCTGAAACGTACCAGGTAAAACTGTAGTAATTAATTTATTCTTCACTGCTCACAAAATGTTTCACGAAAAATTCAATTTTTTTTTTCTATTTCCTCACCACAAATAAAAACCATCTTATCTGCCCTTGAAGTACATAGGTATGTAAAGTAAGGGTGAGCATCTCATTTGTACGTTTTGAGATAAAAATAGAATTTCCCTGTTTACACCACTAAATTGCCTGTTGTCAAGGTTGTGTATATGTTTGCATGCCCATTGAAACCCCAAAAAAATCCCTAGACCTAAAATGAACCAGAAAAAATTCCCGTGCCTAATTTTTGAGTCTTAAAATTTCCAGAAAGCATTAAATGATATAACATGAAACACAAAAACATTAGAAATGAATGCTTATGTTTATTTATCAAGGAAACCTAAAAAAAAAATACTACCTAAATCAAGCCACCCAAAAAAATACTTGCCAAATGTTTCTACCCAAAAAAATCCTTCAATCATCCTGGTCACCTGAAATCCGGAGTACCCCCTGGGATAGCACGAACAACAAAAAAACAATAATTGGAAATTATGCTAATCCATCAAGGTTCTGATTTCCTTCTTTTTATTATTGTAGAACCTCGGTAACTCAATTTCTGAAGGGAAACACAAAACATTTTGAGTTAACGGGGAATTACAAAAATAGTTACAAAATAGTAAACAAGCAAGTATGCATTGTTTAGTTGAGCACAAAACACTGAAATCATGTAGCTGTACCAAAAGATATTGTGTATAGAAAATGAAGCTTTTGATGTCCGGTGATAGCGAGTTAAATCCAGGCCCTGAGCAGAATGTCTGTGATCAAACTGCATTGTCAGGTAGGTTCCACCTTATTGTTAAACTATCGATTAGGTCAGCTGGGATTGAGACCTCTTGATAACTTTTTGTATTTCTCATTTACAACTAGTTGCCTTGAAATAAAGTTGTGTTCAATTTATTTCATCGTTACCACTGTGATGTTAAAAATAACAAATTCATAATAGTTAGCACTACTTCCAGAAAAATGTCTGCAATAATTTCAACCACACCCCAAAGCAGACCAACCTCTACTCCTCCTTACTTTTCTAACCGTTCTCTGGCTTAATTAAGAAGCTTGGGTTACAAAAAAATGTGTTGGTAAAACACAACCGAGTCAATTATCGTACGTTAAATAAATCAAAGCATTACTTTAGCAAAATAGAATCTTAGGGTTAACTTCCAATGACAAACAACCAACAAACAACCAATGACAATCGGAACCAATCGAATGTGTATTACTAGAGACGACAATAGACGATATTCGTATTCCCCGACGGCCCTGGGAATAGTAGGCCCATGAGCATGAATGCGAGACTCATGCGGGGAAAAATTAAAGAGACGCTCACTATTTTGTATGGCGATTTCTAAAGATTTTGCGTGAAAATGCCGAAACATCACTGTTGTACCTACAACTGTACGAGCAGCAAGGAAAAGATAAAAAAAAAAACAGTCAAATATCCCAAAGTTGCAAATGTTACTTTCCACTGCTGGAAGGTGGATCGCAGCATGCCGGCTGGAAAGCCTAAATGTCACAAGGCACACTCGTATATGTTCTAAACATTTTGAAGGAGGGTTAGGGCCAACAAAGGCAAACCCTGTTCCTACGATATTCGATTTTCCGAAACATCTCCAGCGAAAAAAAGTGAAACCACGCCAGGATCCGGAGGGGAGACGATTGAAGAATGCTTCCACAACAACAAGCAAAATTCAGAAGGCAAGCAAACGTAGCCACTCGAAGGTTAGAAAATGTCCGGATTTGGTGGAACAGCAAGAAGTTCATTTGAAAAACAATGAAAGTTGTACAGGTGAGGAAACCGGAAATCAGGATTTGTTGCTTGTGACACCGGAGTTAAATCTCAGTGAAAGTTTGATCGGTGATGAGCAAAACTTGCTCGAAAAATCTCGGCCAGCAGAACTCAACGTGAGTCATGACGAGATCAAAGACAATATATTATTTCACGATAAAGCGGTCCAGACAGATTTATCGGCTGATCAAATCACCAGAATGGAACAGGCGCACTTTAAATTACAAGATCGCCAAGGTGAATTAAAAAGAGAATTTCTTATGGAGGACGTGCAACGAGACGATTCTTCAGTCCGGTTTTATAGCGGAGCTCTCGCGCGCGAAGCGCGCAGCAGAGCACCATGGGTAAAGAAATGTGGTAAACTACCCATCCGAGAAAATTTGGTAATCACGTGACCGTACACCGACCGACCGCCCGCCCGCCCGACCGTCCGTCCGCACCACAGGCATACCAATGTAAAATAATTCAATCAACAGGTATGGCAACCCAAATGCAACTCAAGGTTTTATTTGGAAAGAATTTGCATGGCCGCCCCGACTTTTAGGAAGAAAAAGACGACAACAAAGTCGTGTTTTTTTCGCCGTTATTCCAGAGAAAGAGCTAGAGCGAGTGATTAAAAACAAAAGAGACGAATTTTGTAGGAAGAAAAACATGAAAATTCAAAGCGGATGTGTGGCAATGAGAAATGCTGGCGGCCAGCAAAGTGTAAATAAGCGGCAGTGAAAAATAAAAGCGAACATGAACACAGGAGACAAAATGTTGAGTAAGCACATACGACAATTCCTCCATAAAAATAATGTGTAACTAGGAAGTTTGACGTTTTAGTCCTACAAAACAGCGCTGTAGTTGTGCAAAACAACNCTAGGAAGTTTGACGTTTTAGTCCTACAAAACAGCGCTGTAGTTGTGCAAAACAACGGCAACTGAAAGACAAAAAAGCGTGCTGCACGTGCAAATTTGTTTTTTTGCTAATTAGAAAAAAAGTGTGCTGCACGTGCAATTTGTTTTTTTTACTAATTAGATCTATTGATCTTGATGCCATTTTCATTGCCCTCCCCGTTTAGCATTTTACTAGATTTAATTTTTTTTGTTTACAAGTATTATTGACCAGAGCTTCGCTTTTAGCCGTGGCTAAATCTATATATTACTGGCTTACCTTCACTTTCGTGCCTTCTCATGTTATTTGAGTTTCTCAAGCCTATTGCAAGTTCAATGAAATATTGGGACGGAAAGAACATGACACGAGCTGAAACGTACCAGGTAAAACTGTAGTAATTAATTTATTCTTCACTGCTCACAAAATGTTTCACGAAAAATTCAATTTTTTTTTTCTATTTCCTCACCACAAATAAAAACCATCTTATCTGCCCTTGAAGTACATAGGTATGTAAAGTAAGGGTGAGCATCTCATTTGTACGTTTTGAGATAAAAATAGAATTTCCCTGTTTACACCACTAAATTGCCTGTTGTCAAGGTTGTGTATATGTTTGCATGCCCATTGAAACCCCAAAAAAATCCCTAGACCTAAAATGAACCAGAAAAAATTCCCGTGCCTAATTTTTGAGTCTTAAAATTTCCAGAAAGCATTAAATGATATAACATGAAACACAAAAACATTAGAAATGAATGCTTATGTTTATTTATCAAGGAAACCTAAAAAAAAAATACTACCTAAATCAAGCCACCCAAAAAAATACTTGCCAAATGTTTCTACCCAAAAAAATCCTTCAATCATCCTGGTCACCTGAAATCCGGAGTACCCCCTGGGATAGCACGAACAACAAAAAAACAATAATTGGAAATTATGCTAATCCATCAAGGTTCTGATTTCCTTCTTTTTATTATTGTAGAACCTCGGTAACTCAATTTCTGAAGGGAAACACAAAACATTTTGAGTTAACGGGGAATTACAAAAATAGTTACAAAATAGTAAACAAGCAAGTATGCATTGTTTAGTTGAGCACAAAACACTGAAATCATGTAGCTGTACCAAAAGATATTGTGTATAGAAAATGAAGCTTTTGATGTCCGGTGATAGCGAGTTAAATCCAGGCCCTGAGCAGAATGTCTGTGATCAAACTGCATTGTCAGGTAGGTTCCACCTTATTGTTAAACTATCGATTAGGTCAGCTGGGATTGAGACCTCTTGATAACTTTTTGTATTTCTCATTTACAACTAGTTGCCTTGAAATAAAGTTGTGTTCAATTTATTTCATCGTTACCACTGTGATGTTAAAAATAACAAATTCATAATAGTTAGCACTACTTCCAGAAAAATGTCTGCAATAATTTCAACCACACCCCAAAGCAGACCAACCTCTACTCCTCCTTACTTTTCTATATCACCTTCAACACGTTTGTTAGTTCTAGCCATATTTCTTTGCTAGACTGTTGGAACTTCACATTATACCCCAGCCTCCACTCCTGTACTCTATGGCAGATAAATCCTAATTGCATTCACGAAGTCTAACGCAATCCTATATAACCATATACACATTACTCAATTACCCAGCTCTAGACACATGTACGCATTGCGGACCTATTTTTTAAAAAGCTATAAGCTTACATGTAATCTTTGATTTAATTTAACAGTGAGATGTTGTTTGATTGATCAAAATCATGTCTGGTTTTAGCATCAAACAACTCTACGTGCTTTACAAACCTACCGCTTCCGTGCGAGCTCGATACAAGTTAATCCATATATGCCAAAAAAAGTCAAAGAATATTCCTTTTCATCGATATAGTAAGTTTCTGTTTTTATACCGAGACAGCCGGGAAGCACGAGACTTGGACCAAGCACAAACGTCAGCGATGAACAGTCAGATTTGTTTGTTTTGATGAATGAAAATTAATGCACCGAAACGGTAATTTACTGCTACTTTCCTGCAACTTCGTGCAAACTATGCCATATTACTAAATCAAAGCAATTTCTCTGCTTTTAAATTTTCTAATTGACTTGTGATTTTGTACAGATCGAACAATCAAGTTGTACAATTTAGCACAAAAACGGTCCATACGTTTATATAAAGGTGCCTCTTCCTTGCACCTCGGTACACGCTTACTCGCTAAACCAAAGCCCAATAGTGTTTCTCCACCTGCTATATAAATTCTCGTGACTTGGACTAAACATAACAAGAATCGCGGAAAGGCGATTTTTAACTGGGCTGCAAAGGGGCTATTTTTTTCTGAGGGGAGGGGGCGGCTATACACACTCAGGCTACTACAAAACCATGTCGCCGGCTATTACATGCGACAGAATCTTATGTGAGACCGAAACATAAACTCATTCAGAACATTGTACCCTTTTGAAAGACTTTCGTAACCAAAAAAAAGAGTACCATTTTTAAGTGGGGGCTGTATAATTACTTTTAAAATCCACCATTATAATTAAAAATAAACAAGTTAGCCATTAATTCTAAGCCGGAAACGATGTGCATTTTTTTCACGCACCCCTTCCCTAATCTGTCTGTGCCCCAAAATATAGCATGACAGTATAACGTGACTAATTTGACGTAACCGGAAATTCTAAAAATTGTTCTCGTTGTACGAGCATAAAGTGCGACGGACGGAGCTGATTTACACTAGACAGAAATATTGTATTGTATGAAAATTAAACCAGAAGTATACTAAAACAGACAGCCAACTGCCCATTGATCCCGCCTGATCCAGGGGTCTCTGACTGCACTGAGACTTTGCTGCTCTTTTCACAAACATGCGAAGGCCACCTTCACAATTTTGTTTTTCGCTGCCGTCAATCGTAATTACGATCACAACCGACGAACCTCGAAACAGAGAAACACAAAACGAATCGAAATCCACAAATCGCAAACCATGACCTTTCGAACCCGTGAAGTAAAGTTTAGTTTCCTAAGAGGTCCGTTAAGATAAGATGATTGACAGCAGCGAAAAACGCAATCGTCGGTTAATTGGCTTTTGAACTTTAGAATTCGCATGTTTGTGAAACGTGCAGTAAATAGAGAATCCTAATTTGCGGTCTACAGTCTACATAAAAACCGGCAGTATTTTTTCCACAAGATAAAAAATATTCAGTTTTAAGATTTTCCTCTTGGAATTTTTCTCTAACTTAAAGGGATAAAATCCTTTGCATTTTGTGACCTAAAAAAGTTTAAAGATTTCTCGCTCGCATGTTGCTTTCATCAGCACGCACTTCAAACAATGTAAATAGATGAAACGATCGACAACATATTTTTTACCTGATACCGATATGAGTAAAAAGTTCGCTCGAGTTCATTGTTTGTCTCAGCCATGACTAACTTTTCTTCATGGACGATTACTATGCCTCTTTATAACTCCTCCGAAGTTTTTGTACCAGCTAAACAATATGGACTATTCATAGTCCTTGGATAATAAAAAGACTATTAAAAGTGACGCACTATTGTGACTTTGTTTACTTCTGATCACATCTTCAAGCGAAGTCTCTCTTTTCAAGCGATTCATCTCAATGCACAATAATTGACCCCTATATTAGTTAAAACCCTATGGTTCATTTACTGAGTATATTAATGCTGTTTTTGCCCCTCACATTGACGGTGTTCGTTCGTATTCAAAACACCTTTAGGAAAATAAAGATCATATAAGTCATGTGTATTATGTTTCGGGATAAATGGATTATACGCTTTTTTAAGTTTCCATTTTGCGGTGACTTCAGTTTGTAAACATCTCCTTAAAATGGTAGAAGAAATATCAAGAAACATCACGAGAGGTGAAAATTTGGAAAGGCATGTTTCTGGAACTCGCTAGTGCTGACTTAATGATAAAAGCTTATTAAGATACTGATACAAACAAAAGAAAACCCCCTGAAACCTCAACGTGGGCTATACTTGTATGCTCTACTCAATGACCAAACTTTGTCAGTAATAGCACCTATTTTCCTCAAGTCAAGCCTTGAACTTGTGTGCCAAATTCGCAGAGTTCCTATTTTTGTCCGTGTCTTCTTTATCCTCAGTATCCGAAATTTACACCTCCAAATTAAATAGAAGGAAATATTAAAGGAAAAGCCAGTGTTCTAACATGGCAAAGTTGTCACGTCCCTCGCTCATGGACTTGCGTAACATCAGGATTCATCTGCCATTCATCGGCAACTGAGTTGTTCGCTTCACTGACTACGACAGCTTACAATCAAGTCTTCAGCCATAGTGTCGTCAACTGGTGAAATACTTTGCTCATAAATTGTGCTTCTTAGTTGCTCATATACTACAATACATCGATCGACAATTCTCTCTTTGAGTTCACGAAGCGGCCCAGGCGTTCCAAACCTGACGCTCACAGTCATCTTTTAGTGTGAACCTACAGTCAACGGCGTGTCGGTTTGTATGCAACGTGAGCATTTCTCTGAGTCTCCTAGCGCCAACATCATCTGCCTGACTTAAACTCGAACAAGACAAAAAAATTATAAGGGGCTCCTATGATCGAATCGCTTCGAACAACGCAAATAGCTTCAGGTTCGCAACGCCTTGTGGGTTTTTCAGGGGGAGCGGAGACAAGGTACAAAAAGTATCCGTGCAAGGGCTCGTGCAAGAGAAGATCCTATGAAACCACTTGTGAGAACATCGTTTCTCGGTAAAAGACCCTCGTGTCCTCCCTCCCCCGGATGACGGTTTTTCGACACCGACGACCGAAAACCGAATTTATGACTGGGCCGCACAGGCAGCCCAGTAAAAAGTGAACATTACCCACCTTTTTAGCATGTCTTCTTCTCGCAACCAGCGATCGCAAAGCGCCGATCTCGATTAAACGGATCGAGCCACTGTGTTTGTCTGACATTTCCGGGATACATTATCCTCTAGACAACACATATCACTACATATTTCGACCAAAATAATTGTCGATCTCTCATAGAGGCAACAAAACCACAACGTTAACGCTACCGACCGACAAAAAAGCTGCCTATTGTTTTCGACAACATGTCAAGGAGATTTTGCCTCTAAGCCCATAAATTTGCCGGAAATCGATCACTTGATAATCCGCCAGTACAGGCATGCGCTTTAAAGACCAGAGGGCGATTCGACGAGCAAGGAAAACCCAAGGCCATAACTTAACTATACCCGTCTCTTCCTATAAGGATGGCCGGGTAATCAGTGTGAGTAGGTTCTTATATTGATTTCTTTTATTTTGATCATTTGCCAGTTTTGGAAGAAGCGAAAACAATGGTCTACGTCACCAACCATAACATGATCACCATGGCGATGATCACCATGGCGATGGTCATTTTCAAAACATACAAAATGGCGGACAAGGGAGAGGAAAGAGTATTGACCAAAATTCTCCTTTATTCTTGTTTTATCGAGCCTTTTATTTGTCTTTTCGTTACTATGAATTGGGAAGTCCCGTGAGGACAGGGAGTAACCATTCTTGCGCTATAGTTCTTCGCTTATCGCGCGCTTAGTGGGCACTACGTACTCACTGCGTATGTAAATAGGTAAGCACGCTAACAAGTTTGTGCCTATTTATTTCATTAATTTTTTATATTATAAGAAAAAAGAATGCTTTGGAAACAACTAAAAAGTGAGTTATTCTATAATTTATTTCCTTATGTTTGCTAAGAGTAAGTTTTAATGTAATTTTTCCCGTTGCTTCCGTTTCTCTCCCGGGAGTGAGTGACTGGCCGGAGAAGACGGCTGTGATTCAGGTTATTGTTTTGGTGCAAGCGAGTCATTTGTGCGTAAAATATCTGCTTTTTCGAATATGATGTTCTGTTGGTTTATGTCCTGAAGCGGTTCCGTCCAGGTATACAACAGGTTTACAAGGGATTTCTGAGGGTTTATTCTTGAAAACCCACAAAGTGAAAATGATCCATGATCATTTTTTTTTTGTCCCGCTCCAAAAAAACCTATTGCTTTCAATTATTCCACTTTCTGAAGAAGTTCACTGATTATTTGCTCAAGCTTAACAAATGCAAGAGACTCTTTAGAATTTAATATACATATTGGAAAACTAAGAATGCCTGTTACATGTTTTTGGATCTATTTATTAAAATGGAATACTATAGTCTTGTAGTCCACCGGATTTGACCAGAGGTCAGAGATCAACAAGGTTATGGTTTGTTATAAAATATCCTCTCATATGGGATTTGATGTTACGTCCAAATAATACTAAATTATTGTTTTTAGCTCTGGGGTTGCCTTCAAACCAAAGGCATTGTAACTTTGAGGAGCACTTTTCTCCAAGTCTTCTCTGTGGGGACCCTCAAACAACTCTATTAGACAAGGTTTGGCCCAGAATAATAATGATTACTGCAGTCGTGGCATGGACACAACATAAGTTTTCCAAAGTTCTTTTTCATAGTTCTCCATGTTTCTATTGAACAGCCTTTCAAGAAAAACAAAGCTCACACATCAGAGTAAAGACACAATAAAAGTTATTTATTGTTACATTTTGTTTTTTGTAAATAAACATTTTATTTCGGGTCCTGACATAAACTGCGAGCAAGGGAGCTATGCAAGTCAAGCGGACCATCAGCAAAAATGAAGTAAAAACAAGTAAAAACTGCAAATTTTACAGATTTCGGTTGAGCACTCATTTTACGGATTAGGGTTTAGGTTGGAGTTAGTATGATTAAGTGCTGTTTAGGGTTAAGCACTTATTTACCATGGTTAGCTTTCAGTTAATTCTTTCCGTATTACTGTTTTCGATTTTTATGTATCATTTTCAATGAGTCGGATCTGACCTGCATGACTCGCTGCCATGGCTTGCTGGCTCGCATATTATACACACTCTTTTATCTCAAAATCTTTTTTTTTTTTTACACCTTCTTGGACATGAAAACCAAAAANTAAAGACACAATAAAAGTTATTTATTGTTACATTTTGTTTTTTGTAAATAAACATTTTATTTCGGGTCCTGACATAAACTGCGAGCAAGGGAGCTATGCAAGTCAAGCGGACCATCAGCAAAAATGAAGTAAAAACAAGTAAAAACTGCAAATTTTACAGATTTCGGTTGAGCACTCATTTTACGGATTAGGGTTTAGGTTGGAGTTAGTATGATTAAGTGCTGTTTAGGGTTAAGCACTTATTTACCATGGTTAGCTTTCAGTTAATTCTTTCCGTATTACTGTTTTCGATTTTTATGTATCATTTTCAATGAGTCGGATCTGACCTGCATGACTCGCTGCCATGGCTTGCTGGCTCGCATATTATACACACTCTTTTTTCTCAAAATCTTTTTTTTTTTTTACACCTTCTTGGACATGAAAACCAAAAACCAAAACTTAATTGATATAATGAAGACAGTAGCAGCTGACATCGATTTTCAATAGTTATCTTGTGATATGTCTCTCATGTATTATTTATTAGGGAGGATGATTTGTTGAAGACGATGCATTAATAAAGATGCTTTTAAATCAAGAGAATCTCAATAATTTAGGATTTATTCAAATAGAAACATATTTAGTTGAAAACCACTTAAACATAGCGTTGTTGAACGTATTTTAGTATTTAAACGGTAGATATAGGCATGTTTTTATCCCCTAAAACTTTTTCATCTGTTCGGATTTCCTAGCTGAAAGTCTATTGATCCGAAAATTATAGGGATCAAAACTTACCTTTTCGAAAATTTCAGCCAGAAAAAAGGCTCCCGAACAGATTCTAGGTGACCTTATTAGGGTAAAAATCCGTTAACAATGGGAAATTACACCATTTTTAGATGTTCGAAAATCCTAGGAGAGGCAAGCAAGCAAGAAATTTTACAACAATATTTCGAAAATTCTAGATCTCAAATCGTCTTCCGAACAGATATTTTCCGAAAATTGACGTTGGATGCCCCTAGAACATGCACTTTACACGCTGTAGCTTTAATGAAAATTAGTCTTAATTTCGTAAAAATTCGGCAAGATGCTGAAAACTAAACATAAAGTCATGTACTTAAATTCGATGCCCGTCAAGATGGCGGCGGCGGCGTCGAAGGCCATTTGAAAACTGTCGCTTTTAACTACCGAAATGCGGCAGGAAACTTCCCTTGACATTCAAAAAGCAGGGAGAAGGCTTCTTCATCGGTACTGCTAGCTCGGAAGTCCCGAATATTGAACGAGGAGACCTGGAACAGGCTTTGAAAAAAGCTCCCTTGTTTCTTGCGATTATTTTTTCCTATTTTTGCGTGTTCTTATCAGAACAATGGAATCATGACGTCACCGCTTCTTCCAAAACTGACATACTCCCGAACTGACTATTGTGCCCAATCGGCGAACAGCAGCTCCTATTTCAGTTCTTTTCGTGTGTTAGTACAGGACGGCTATTGTCTCGCCATACTTGTCTAGTGCATTCACCGAGGTTGTGTGTGCAAGGGAAACTTTCATTTCCTACTTTGCCCTTACTAGAAACGGAGGAACTACAGATGATTCGGGAAAACGTTTCGGATGCTATCAGCAGGACCATTCTAATTTGCTCCGTAGACTTGCTACAAGTCGACCTCAGGAGTCTCTTAGCAAGCGGAGCGTGCTTTTTAGGCCGCGAAGCGGCCAAGTGAACGACGAAGTCAAAAGAGGTCGACTTGTCTCGCTTGAGGGGTTGCCATTCGCGTTTCACGCAGAACATGGGGAGAACAATAATTCGCATTTGGGGTTTCAGGTTGCATTTTCGACACTCCCAAACTTCAATCGCGGAATGTATTGATTCCACGCCGTCAAAAACAATCGAATGCGTGTGTGTTTCTCCGCCATAGAAAGGTCAAATTTATCTACTTTGTTCTAAAGTTGTCACAAACAAAGATGTCAACTAAGCGCGCACTTCAGATCGTGATACCAGCGAACAAAAGAATCACAGCAACAAAAGCGCCCTGTTTGTAGCGCGTGATGTTCTCCCTTCGACCGACATTTCATCTCCGATGCAACGGGAAATGAGTTTTGAGACCTGACCTTTGAGAAATCAGCGGAACAATCGCCAACACGATGGCATTCCAATCCTCGCCAAATAAACGGACGGAAGTGATGGAGCCAGCTCAAAAGTCAGACTTTTCCCAGCTCCGGTTAGAGAATACCCAAAAACATCTCTCCCCGACAGATATGCTTCGATTGTTTTTCTCAGCAGCTCTGATTATCCGTGGCCTTGAGAGCATCTGCTTTCGCAATGGACAAGTCACCTTATTGCGCCTAATTACTTAGGAGTGACAACGTTATCCCTAAGGGTCCTAAAGAGCTACTTTGATTAGTCTAAGCGCAGCAACCCGTTTTGGGGTCGCTAAAACTGGCGCCAATCGAGTATGAAAAGTCCTTCGTCCCTCGCCATATTAAAAGTCTATTTGCCGCGAGAAAATTCTGTTTATGACCGATCACAAGGTATCGTATATAATATTTACGAACGCGTGATCGATCAGGATCGTTGCAAGCTTGTATAGTGTGGTAAGCTCAATTTTGTATTTTTGGAAAAGCATCTTTAAAATACCCTCACATACGTTTCCATGTTTT